AATATTCATAATATATTATATAAAATAGTAAAATATAGCATAACATATAATATAGCATACTATACAATACTTATAATTATATAATATAAAATACTTATTTATAATATTTTTATATATTCAAATACACATACATATTTCTTTGTACCTTCAAGGCATAACATCTCCCTGCCTTTCAGCAAGAATCAAACTTGTAGGATGCATTATATATTGAACACTTTCGTACCAGAAATTCAGTTCCAAATGAGAGTAAAACTTTTGCATAAAATCCAGAATGATTGCCATGATTTTCAAAGTAAATATTGTGTTTTCAAAACTATACTGCAGGCTCGTATCTCGTAGCTCACCTGCCTTACACTTTATGTAACGCATAGTATATTGGTATAAAACATGGCTGCCATTTCGTATTTTTTCTACAAACTTTTGTTGGTCAACATTTTATGTTTACACTACAGAAGTTATGCCAAAAAAGTGCTAGAGTTTCAACAGAATGCACAATTGTGAATACTATGAGAATAATGGAACATTATTAATTTTATACAACAATGACACTGTCACAATGATATGAAGGTAAAATCAGTAATGTTGAAACTTGAAAATGATTTGGACTGTTTATATGAGAGACTGGTAAGTTTCAGTTTTATGTCTTTTCATATGGCACAGAAATGCCAACTTGGAAAGTAAAATAGTGGTGTTTATGGACATCTGAGATATGCTATAACATAAAAGTATGTCTTTTGAATGTAAAAACCCAAAAAATATCACATCCAAAATGTTTTGTTATCTCTTTACAAAATATAACCAAAATGGGTAAAATATTAGCTATATTCGCCATTTTTGGATAGGTGGTCATATTCAATGGGGCCAAAAAACAGTATTTTGGATGTGAATTTAACTTTTTTGTTATTTTTAGGTTAAAGAAAGATAAAACTTACTAAAAATAAAACTTATAGGATAATGGCAGTTAATCGACAGAATTTCTGAGGGGTGCGCCCTATCAGCGCACCCCCGGTCATATCAACATGAAAAACCCCCGGTACGAATAGGGTTAACTTTAAGGTTGCTAACCGAAATCTCCGTAGCTCGAACGCGTACTTATAATGTCAACGTAAGTTACTCAACCAAGAGATATCCAATAAACATTCGCGAATTAATGTTCTGTCCTTAGAGGTCAACGAAGCACTCTCATATCTAACCTCACTTGTTTCAACTATTGATGCCATCCATCTCAGATCTGTTTGCGACCGTGCGTGAGAATACCAAGAAACTCCGTCATCATGAACAAAATTCAACACACGAAAACTTTTTCGTTTGTGCGGCGATATATCAAAATCCTCTACAACGGACCCAGACAAAGTTGTTTTTAACGTTACTCGTCTCGTAAACTTTCTGATACGGAAAAAAATCTACTAGCTCGGGGTCTTCAACTTCTCATTACTACCACGTAAATTGCGGTTCTGTGACTTTGAATTCTCACTCCGTTTGAAAAGTTTTTTAAATTGGTTAAGAAGGAAACTATAGCAACCAATTCTGGATACGACGAAGAGTTGAATAAAACTCGGATTAAAGATATTGCGTTGACGGGCTATAAAACCTACATTCCTCCTAAATCTATCTTCGCGGATGACGAACTTAAAACAATTAATCACTCCAGAATGACAAAGATATATACTTGATAAAACCGGATAAAGGAAATGGGATTGTTATCATAAACCGCAGCGACTACAAATCTAGAATGTTTGACATTCTTAAGGATGACACTAAATTCGAACAGTTAAAAATGCAGAAATCTAATATATATAAAGAAACTGTAAAACGTGAAGACAAAATTCGTAAACTCCTTAATGAATTCAAGAATGAAGAACTTATATCTGAACAACAGCATGATGAACTTACGCCCATTGGCTCTCGGCCAGGTATTCTATATGGTTTACCTAAAGTTCATAAACCTAATTTTCCATTAAGACCTTTCATCTCTGCTATAGGAACTCATGCTTACAAACTTGCTAAGTTTCTGGTCCACTTCTCCGTCCTTTTTCCACTAATACTTACACTATTACTGATACATTTATGTTTGTTAAGGAATTACGTGAGCTGGACATTAATACTAATAATGTTGTAATGGCTAGCTTTGATGTTAAGTCACTTTTTACTAACATACCATTAGATCATCCTCGTACCCAGGCTCTTTTTGGGAAAGACCCTGGTATTGTCTGGTCACGTGACTGTACAAAAATTAATTGCCCAAGGGGGAGTGGCAAAGTATCAATTACGTGCTTGAAAATGTTACTGTAAATTTCAAATAACAGCAGTGGGATTTTACGATACATAGTTCGAAGCGCACGCTAACTTCTATTTTATATTTCTGTTTGCTTTTAAATTACAAAAGCACTGTAGCATTTCATCAGCAGTCAAGTCAAGAAACAAATAAATCGTATACTTTAAAGTTTGAAGTTGGGTATTCTCTCTCAAACATATTTTCATATCAAACCGGTCAGTCGTCAGCGTTTGTATATTTTCGCTTTTATCTGTTTCTAAAATATGCCATTTATAGATTTGTTGTTTGCAAATGTTGATAAACTTTGTGCCGATTTTTAATACTAATAGTGCGCGTCTTGTTTATTGATACTTGATAGATTTTGAAACGTAACTAGTTGCCACAAATCACAATGTAAACATATGGACACTGCCAAACAGAGACTGAATGCTCACCTTACAACTGTTGATGATTTATCTTTGAAAATACTTTTAATTCACTAGTTCATCATATTTGAAACTTGTAGATAGGTAGGAGGTTTGCAGAGAGTAAAGTATAAACATTTTCAGATGAATGTACAAAAATTCTAAGCCTCAGGGAAATGCGTATACGGTATATCAGGCGGTATAGACAATTACCGCTTTAGCCTTTTTTTCGGCCTACAGCAATATTTATAAAAATAGTTTTCTGATACACAGTACACATTTTATAACACGAAGATAGTCATATATATTTCCATAAACCACGGCATAAACACTGATATGCATATGCATCATATACCCATAAACACTGATATGCACATGCAGATATAACACTTACTTAATTAGAGTCTTAGAGTTTGATTGCTTCACATTATTTAACACGTAAGTTTTCTTCGAGAACAAACCGTTTAACTCTAGTGCAAAATAGTTAGACTCGACGTAAATCTAAATATGTACATTAACACAACATATATTGATCTCTAAACAGACTAACAAGCAGTGTCCCACACCAGCATGCATAATAAGTCAGTATTATATTTCACAAATAAAAATTTCTCGCGTATTTAATACTGTATTAACATCGATCAACAAATTACAGTAAAGCGAATGTCACAATTAAAGCTATATTCATCAAATTTATTATGTGGTCTGTATTTTTTAAGGGACTATTCATTATTTATGACCGGGGGTGGGCTGGCAAAATTCAATTAACAACTAAACAAAATGTCCTGCCCCACCCCCTGCATCAAAAAATTAAATGACCCCTTCACATGAATTCTAAAAAATAGTAACCCCCCCCCCCCCACAACCACCACCACCGACAATATAATAAATGTACAGTACTGTATAGAAATGAGCTCTTTAAACTTGTTGTAAAAGGCATCAGATCTTTCATTTACTTGTGCTTTTAACAATTAATATGCATGCCTATTTAACCCATTAAGCTGTAGAGTTTCCTGTTGACGAGTGAAATCGTCTGGCGTTAAAGAAGTAAAAAAATAAGTAGAGTACACTGGGGCGCAATGGGTTAACTAGCGACATTGTCAGATTTTTTGGTTAACCTATTAAGCTGCAGAGTGCCGAAGAGGCTTTTAGCTGGGGGTCATACCATTTTTTGCTACTAAGAGTGTAGGAAAAAGTGCTCAAAAAGGAAAACGTTGCTTGTAGTTGCTCGAGCCGAAAAAAGTTGCCGAGCACAATCGGGACATGCCCAGCAGAGTTTCCCCGTTGATAAATGAAAAAAAAACCATACGTTTTGTAAGAATGATATGTTCTATGTTCACGGAAAATTTAGAAGAAACAGGATGAAAATTAAAGAAGTTGAAGCATATTGGCGTTTTTGCATGCATTTTTTTTGACTTAGAGTTAGGGTTACAGTGCCGTAGCTAGGAAGCTCTTTTTGATTGGGAAGCTGAAAGCGAGGGCCAAAGGCCCAAGGAAATTTTTAAATTTAGAGTCTCTAAAATGCCATTTCCTGGACTTTGGGGAAGATTTGACAGAATCCTGATGATCAAAAAACAGCATTTTAGTATGTCAAAATTTACAATTTAGTAGCACTAAATGGGCGAAGGCGTATTTAATTAACTATATATTGGATAAGTTGCAGGAAAGTATGAGAAATATCTTCATTCTTTGCAGTTTGTCATGCATGGATAATGTAGCTGCTTAAAATTAATCAATTGTCAGTATTTTAAAGGTATATTATTTAAATGAACAAGGTCTGCATGATTTTGGAAAAAGAATATTATTAGCAAATTATTGGGCTGCTACATCGCTTACTCGTTAATTATTTTTTTTTATTAAAATGTACATAATTGAAATATGACAAAAATTTATGGCAAGTTCATGGCAAAAGTTATAAGGTAGATGTTCGATTATTTTTCATATTAGCTGCCGCATTGCATTTTGGGTATTCATGCATTGCATTTTGGGTCTATCTGTTGAAATTGAGAATTTTGCTAGCTATACATGAATTAAATTTGCTGCCTTGCTCGCTCCCTGTGGTAGCAATAATCGTTACATGTCAAATTTTTCTCCACTATAATATCACTATATAAATAACTGGACCCCCCTTTCTGAACCAATATTTTTAGGTGACCCCCCTTTTTCGGTCAAAAATACCTCATGACCCACCCCCTTTTTTTGCCAGCCTACCCCCAGTCATAAATAATGAATGGTCCCTAAACAAAGTAACATATTCTGCATTTCTTGAAGAATTTACAAAGCTACTGGAGCATATCTCTCTAGCTTCTGGAAAGCTTATAATGGTAGGAGATTTTAACTGTCATGTAGTTGAAGGAGGTTCTAATGCTCTCAAATTTTTGGAGCTTCTGCAGATTTTTAATCTTGAACAGCATGCGAATGTACCGACACACAGTAGTGAACATACACTCGACCTTATTATCACCAGGAAAGGTGAAACTGTTATTAACAATCTTAAAGTATTTGACGCTGTTATTTCTGACCATTTTGTGTTGCATTGTAATTTAGACTTGGCTAAGCCTTGTAACGTAAAGTCGGGCATTTCGTATCGAAAGCTTGGAGATATTGATACACTTAAGTTTCGTCAAAACATTCTTAGCTCGGAGTTATATACAAGACCTGCACCTAGTCTTGAGGAGCGTTGTGACCAATATGATTTGGTATTATCAACATTGTTGGAGAACCATGCCCCACTTCGTAAAAAGGCCGTAACGATCCGACCTATGGCCCCATGGTATAATGAAGATATCAAGAAGCAGAAAATAGTAAGACGATGCAAGGAACGGAGATGGCGTAAAAGTGGCTCACAAGTTGATAGACAGGCATATGCTGATCAGTGTATCCTTGTTAAGAACACAATCAGTGAAGCGAAAATGGAATATTATTCATCACTTGTTCAAGATGCTGGTACTAATAGTGGACGAGTTTTTCGGACTATCAATCGTTTCCTCCACAAGGTTAGCAAACCAGTTTGCATATTTCTTCAACGATAAAATCTTCAAGATAAAACAAGGACTACAAACTCCATCGTCAGGGAATACCCGGGTTTTTCCCACCTGGATAACCCAAAGCTAACTTGCTGTTTGGATGAGTTCACCTATACCACAAATGAGGAGTTATCTGATATTCTGAAAAAGAGTAAATTAAAGTCCTGTGTGCTAGATCCAATACCAGCAAAGGTACTTTCTTCCCACATAGATGCGATTTTACCGATTGTCACGGACATTGTTAATTCATCTTTGGAAACTAGCCATGTTCCATAGTCCTTTACTGTCGTTCCAGTTGAAGTGTTCCTCAAATATTGATTCAATACATTACCTCGGGCTGACCAATTCATTTCATCAAGTTCCTCAAAATATTCATACACTTCCTAGTATAATTGTAAACTTCCTGTTGAATAGTTTGAATGCACCAATCACCTTAGTTGTTTGTGCAACTAACCAATCATAAATAGAAAGGAAGTGACCAGAAATGATCAAATACTTGGAATTGGCTCTTTCACAGGAAGTGTATGAATATCTCGAGGAACTTGATGAAATGAATTGGTCAGCCCGAGGTAATGTATTGAATCAATATTTGAGGAACACTTCAATTGGAACGACAGTAAGAAGGCTGCTTTATACCCGACTCGCAAAAAGTCTGTCACGGACTATGAAGAATTGTCCAACTTTCGTCCAATCTCTAACTTAAAGTTTATTTCGAAGATCTATATCTTTTCAAGACTGAAAAGGTGGTTTCGTTACGTCTATTGCATTATCTTCGAAGCAATGACCTCGAAGAACTATATCAATCTGCCTACAAGCAATTCCATAGTTGTGAAACAGCACTTATTCGTGTACAGAACGACATTCTACGTGAAATATGATAGATGGAAACTCGGGTGTCATACTACTACTATTGGATCTATCAGCTGCGTTTGATACGGTGGATCATACGATCTTGCTCCAAAGAATGTACTCTAAATTTGGCATCAAGGGTGATGCATTAAACTGGTTCAGGTCCTGCCTATCTGATCGTTCCCAGACTGTTTAGTTATGTTAATGGCGCTACTTCAGACAGCTATGATGTGTTTTGTGGTGTTCCCCAAGGATCAGTCCTAGGTCTTATCCTATATCTGATATACACTTCACCGATAGCAGACATTTTACAATCTCATGGCATGAAATTTCATCTATATGCCGATGGCACTCAAATCTATGTCTCGTTTAATTATAATGATCAGAATGACCTTAAGCAAGTCAAGTCGTGCGTAGAAGCCCGCCTCGTGGATATTATGAACTGGATGTCAGAGAATAAATTAAAACTTAACACTGATAAGACGGAACTTCTTATTTTGAGTTCCAAATGCCGGGCAGAGCCTATATTCCCTGTGTTGACTGTGGGCTCCGATATAATTACTCCAACACCCCACGCTCTGAACATTGGTGTTACATTTGATAAATTTCTTACAATGTCTATACATATTAATGACATATGTAAGTCAGCATTTTACCACCTATGGAACATTGCTCGTGTTAGGGACCGTTCATTTTTTATCAGGAGGAGGGGGCTGGTGGTTTTGGGTGCTTTCATTGATAATTTCGTCTCGACCCCCCAACAGATGCAGGGAAATTTCCAGTGACCCCCTTTCTACTCCAAGTTTTTTTCCCATGATCCCCGTACATGCATATGGTCTTGGACTTTTGGTCATGCTAGGTCCTACCCAAGCGTCACAAGATAAGCAATTGTAAAGCAATATACTTCATTTTATAATAGGACAAATCTTCATTGTTTTTTGGCTGTTTAATAAAGTTACCGGAAGTGACAATTTTGTGCATTTTGGCCAAAAGAAACAAAATAAAACTGATTTACATTTTGCATTGCCTTAATACTCAGTGTCACGTCCAGTAGCTTTTAATAAACAGCCATGAAGATGAAGCTTTTTTCTAAGAAAATAAATTGCGTTTTAGAATTCACTAAATGTCTAAATATCACAAATATGTAAAATTCCTAATTGTTCATGTGTACTTTAAATTTAAATTGTCTACTGATGCATGTACTAAAACTTTACTCTGAGTTTTTATAAATGAAAGAGCATGATAGTTGATTGCTTTGATTTTTATATATTATATGTATTCATTGATGTTTTGGTGGCCCCCTCAAAATGTGACCTCCCCCCTTTCACATAGCTATTTTTTCTGTTGGCCCCCTGCAAAAACCACCAGCCCCCTCCTCCTGATAAAAAATGAACAGTCCCTTAGAAGATACCTGTCGATCCATACTACTGAACAGCTTATTCATGCTTTTGTAACTATTATACAAATAATGAATGTTTATGAGTGCAATGGTAAGAATATTTTCATGAGGTGAAAGATGGAATGTTCCATTCAACGAGGCGACAGCCGAGTTGAATGGAACATTCCATCTTTCACCGAATGAAAATATTCTTACCATTGCACGAAGAAACATTCATTATTTGTTTTATATAATACCAAAAATCCAGAACAGACTAATAGATTCGTATGAGAAGCATTTTGAGGGATGCGATTTATCGAAAACACAAAGAGTGCAATTGTACTATACGTTTTATTCCATTGCACTCGCGGAGAGTGCAATGGAACGCGTTCCATTGCACTCTTGGGAAATGGAATTTTCTATTCAATATCACGTGACCATAAACAGCCAATTAAACGATTAGAATTTAATAAGGTATTATATAATATAAACTAGACAATGCGAATGCATTGTTGTATGGTCTTCCTAACTCAGATTGGAAAGTTACAGCGTGTTCTAAACTCTGCAGCACGACTGTTAACTGGATCCCACAAGTATAATCATACTACACCTATTTTAATACAGCTGCATTGGCTACCAGTCGAGCAACGGATTATATATAAGATTATTTTATTGACATTTAAAGCGTTAAATGGACTTGCTCCGCAAACATTGCAGAGATGATCAGCCATTATGAACCTTCTAGATGTCTTAGATCCTCTAAAGCTAATTTACTTAATGAACCAAGATTTAATGTAAATAGCTACGGTGGTAGAGCTTTTTACGCAAGTAGTCCTAAGTTATGGAATAAACTACCTGTCTCTATTAGAGCATGTACAGATTTTTCTGAATTTAAGAGTAAGCTTAAGACCCACATGTTTAAAATAGCCTATGATTTATAGATGTATATAAGTTTATAAGTATATATAAGTAATAATTAGGAAATTTGTTATATTTTATTGTAAATTTCTAGATTAATGAATGTAAAGCGCTTAGATCTATGTGTTATAAGCGCTATATAAACTTGTGATAATAACAGTGATGGGCACAGACGTATTTTTATTGACTAAACCGGCAGGCTCTAATTCAATTCAAAGAGCCTGTTCGCAGACCAGCAAGAATGAGGTATCGACAGAAACCTATTGAACGTAGATTCCAAAAATACAATTTTCAGACCGGAGTAAATTCAAATTTTTGCTAGAGCAATGAAACACGTTAGAATAAGATTTGTTTTATTTTCCTCAAAAAAAAATAAATGGTTTGGGTGCTCTGTGGCCTGTGCCATGGCCCAAACTAATTATTTTTTTATTTTTTCGAGGAAAATATAAACAAATCTTATTCTAACGTGTTCTCTTGAGTAGAGTAAAGTAAGTCAAGTTAGTAAGTAAGTAGAGTGAAGTGAGTCAGCAAGTCAAGTTAGTAAGTGGAGTCAAGTTAGTAAGCAAGTCAACTTAGTAAGTCAAGTAAGTCTGCAACACTTAGTCCTTACCACCAGACCATTCCGCCTTCACTTGCTGCAACTCCTTTTCTATTCTATTCTATTCTATTCTACTTAACTCTTTCTCTCTTAAGGCTATAGCCTTACTTTTTTGCTATCTATGGCCTTACCTTTTTGCTATTTTTTGCCCCTTTTTCAAAAATGAAAAAGTAGCTAAAAATGGACGAAACATTAAGGCTATAGCCTTATTTTTTTGTCATTTTTTTTCCCATTTTTCAAAAATAAGTGGCTAAAAATGGACGAAAGTTAAGGCTATAGCCTTACTTTTGTGCCCCTTTATTCAACAATGAAAAAAGTGGCTAAAAATGGACGAAAAGTTAGGGCTATAGCCTTACTTCTTTGTCATTTTTGACCCTTTTTCAAAAATGAAATAGTGGCTAAAAATGGACGAAAAGTTAAGGCTATAATAACCTTACTTTTGTGTCCCTTTTTCAAGAATGAAAGTAGTGGCTAAAAATTGACGAAGAGTTATGGCTATAGCCTTACTTTATTGCCATTTTTTGCCCCTTTTTCAAAAATGAAAAAAGTGGCCAAAAATGGACGGAAAGTTAAGTGCCCCTTTATAAAAAATGAAATAAGTGGTTAAAAATGGACGAAAATGTTGTGCCCCTTTTATCAAAAATGAAATAAGTGGCTACAAATGGACGTAAAGTTAAGGCTGTAGCCTTACTTTTGTGCCCCTGTTTCAAAAATGAAAAAAGTGGCTAATAATGGACGAAAAGTTAAGGAATAGAAGGGCAACTCACGTGTACAACGCCTGACTCTTCCACAGTCCCTCGTTATATTTTAGTACGGGAGAATATGCCCGTTCGCGGGTTAGGCGTTGACAGCACACGTCGGAAATGCGAGGGACTGTGGAATCGTGTGTCGAAAAGTTGGCAGAATAGTCGAAAAC